GCTGATTGCCAACGCGCGCGTGTTCCCCACAAACCGTGCGTGGGAAAGACCCTGCGAGCGTGTTACCAGGGCCCAGCCGAAAGCTGATGAAATCGCGCGTCAGACACCACGTGCCCCGGGTAGGCGGATGAAGACTGGCGTGCCCGAGCAAGACGGTGAACTGGCCAGATGGTGCGGACAATCAAGTGTGGAGCGTGGGCTTACAGCCACATCCGCCAGGTGATGTTTAGAGGATTGGTGAGACCAACATATAAATATGAGCGTTCTCGGTCCTAATACAACTCCGGTCTGCTGAGTCTTCTTCTGTCTTCCTTCCTGTCGGGTTTGTCAAGGTGTCAAACAGCGCAGGCGTAAGGACGCAGATTTACCAGCTGGCCTGAATCAACTGGTCGATTGCGGGTACAGTGTTAAGAAAATGATTTATTTACATAGAGGACGGTGGTATTCGGGTTCCTAGGAGGATCAATACCCTAGGTATTCGACGATGGAATAAACAGTCTCTCAAGAATGCATTTTGGCTATTTTCCACCACCAACACAACTAACTCGGATAGTTCTCTCTTCTTCGATGGATTCTATATTTGCACAAAATCGGACCCTACCGAAGTCGTGTTACTTACTTCCGTCAGCTGCATATAAGGCACATGAACCAAAATGCATCAGCCCACGCCCGTTCTTCTAGGAATACCAAATGCGGACAGAGAAATTGTTGATGAGCAAGTCCACTGTTTTTGGTTGTCTACTGTTTATAGTCATTTCTCTTTGAAATCTCTCACCGACCTTCCAACGTCACCTGTTTCGCTGCAGCTTCTTCATACGCAATTTACCACACAATTGGCGATTATTTCGGAGCTCGGATGTGGATATCGTTTTGAAAGCAAAACAAACCAGTAACCAATTCACAGGAAATTGAATATAGACAACATGAAGCAATATTAACAATTGTCCCTCAATAATTCGAGGAATTCAATCGGCCTCCAAGTTAAAGTAGGAATGAAATTCCTTGCGTTTGTGCGAGACTTTGGACATGACACCATTTGACATATCATCGCTCTGCATTTGTTGGAGTGTTACCTAGTGGTCTTCTCCGGTCTATATAATAAATTTACTATATCCGTTGTATTTGGCATTACAAGTGCACACCAGTTACACACGCTTTTCCTCTTTCAGGACGAGGAGAATTACTTTTTGAGAGATTCCAAAAATGGGCTTATGCAACGGTTGGAGACAGTGCTGAGTTAAAGTGTTTACAGTGGCTCTTAGGTTGATTGAAAGCAAGTTTGCATGGTACAATTTTAGCTTCGTAGACTTCATCAAAATCTGCACCAACACTGTAACACCAAAAATAATGAAGAAACACAGTCCCATCCTCATACACCAAATTGCTGAGCCCCCAAAATAATGTGTAAGTTCTCTTACTCAAATGCATGGAGCAAAGTGGATTATGATGGGAATCTGGGGGGGGGGAAGTATATGGCGATAACATAAAGCAGTTTAAAGCCTGCTTGCAAGAGCAAATTGCTAGCCGCACTCCGTAAAATCACGTAACCAATCCCACTGCGAACAAGCCGTTGATACTGGACCTTGTGCTCACTGCCGAAGAACTCTTGGTCGACGGGATAGTTACAAGCACACGACTGGGTCGCAGTGACCATGTTACTCTACTCTTTGACTATATATGCAATACGGAATATCCTGAAAAGGAGAATGATAAAGTGCGTACTGTTACGCACTATAATGTGTTATCTACGCTTGTTAAGGATCCATCTTGAATTTTCTTAACCGAATGCCCCCCAGATGTTGCCTGGGAAACATTTACAAGGACATTCAGCACACTGGTTGCGCACGCATCGGAACAGAAGTGCTTCGAATCAAAAAAACATGTATAAGTCAGTTTTGAGCAGCAGCACACGTAAATGTATGTCCGGAGGGATTTGGCATGGCGAGATCACCAGGACTGACCGAATGCCGAAACCTGGACTGCATACGTGACACATCGTAACTTCTGTGTGAAACTGATCCGCGAGGAAAAGCTCACGCATCAATACGAGTTAGTGAAGCGATTCTGCACGAAGCGCAAACTTCTGTACAGGCACGTTAATGGCCATCGAAAGGTGAAGAGGGGGATTCTAGCAATAGTCACGGCTGTTGGATGCATGCGATCAGTAATGAAAGCAGCCGATCTCCTACGACTTTATTACTCCCAAAATTTCTAACAGGTAACGATCCAACATTCTTCTTGTTTCTAGTATTTCACTGTCGGGTTTGGACAACATTACCTTCACCGCGGAAGCTGTGTTGTAGAAGTTGTTATCCTTGCGTATCCAGTTCTCCTGGAGTAGACAACATCTGACCAAAAGCTATGCAGGCTGTAGCTGGTGATCTATCAGAACCCCTGACAGTTTTCTATTAGCGATGTCTAGAAGCCAACCATATTCCACCAGTATGGAAGCGAAGGGTCCTCACTCCAATCCATAAAGGAAATAGCCGCAATGCCCTTACCAACTACCGTCCAATAAGGCTACTTCCTGTGCAAACAAAAGTTATGGAATCAATCATCGCAGATACGCTGATGCAGTGTCTGGAAAGCCGCAACTTAATAGCCACAGAGCAACATGGCTTTCGTCGAAAGCGTTCATATAATACTAACCTATTAATTGCATGTAATAGCTGAACTGAAGCCGTTGATGACGATGCAGAAGTCAATGTAGTATACCTTGACTTCTCAAAAACTATTTACACACTGCTGTTGTAGAATATAGTTTCGGATATATTACAACTGCCTTCATCAGTTTACCCAAGTCCAAGAAAACGGCGCACGAGTAAGCTTTGGTCGTTTCTCTTGTTCTTAAGACATGCCTTACCCATATTACTTCCATATTACTCTACAGTAACAATTCAGTGCACATTCTATAACGTTTCTATGAATAAGGGGCACTTGAATTCACTAGACGTTTAAATTGACTATTTACACTTATTTTTACTTTCACTTCAACCATCCTACTGGACTTGTAAAGCAATCGCTTTTTTACCTGTTATATATCATTGTTCATTGTTCAAAACTTTTGATCGTTTAGACCATCGCGTTCTTCTTCAGATGCTTTGGAACTACGGCATTTGCGACCTGATCCTAAGTTAAATTAGCACGTTTCTACACGAACGACGGCTAGAGGTGAGAGTCCGAGAATCATTGTCTGATGCAATCGATGTGGCGTGCGGAGTACCACAAGACTCGGTTCTTGGACCTCGTCTATTCTTGGTGTTCATTAACGATTTGGCGAGATCAATTACTTCCGATTTCCTATTTTTCGCTAATGATATCAAGATATGACGAAGGATCAGAAGACCGGACGACCACGAACGGCTCCAGTGCGATCTTAACACAGTGTCAACTGGTGAGTTCAAAATGCCCTACCATTCAACGTAGGCAAATGTCGCGCTGTGCAGCTACGCCATAGGCGAGACTCCACATATTTGCTTGGGACACACGGATATTATATCAGCTTCCAAGAAGGAGATTGGTGTGCTCGTACAGAACCAACTCAACTGTTCAAAACAGGCCGAGGTAGTTGCAAAAAGAGGCAACCAGCACGTCGGCATGCTGCAAAGGGCATTCGGGAGAGTCCACCCATCACTCTCCCCAATGATGCACAATTCCTACGTGCGCCCGCATGTTGAATACGCTATCCAAGCTTGGTAACCTTGGTTGATGCGTGGCCTAGAGGCGTTAGACGCACCACAACAAAGAGCAACAAAGAATGTAAAGCGCCTGCGCTACCACCCTTACCACTGTAGGTTGAAGTTGCTGGGAATTTTCAGCGGACTCTACAGAGGGCTGCGCGGTGATCTCATATTAGCGTATCAAATATTGAGTAACCCCCATCACGTATGTCGCCACAACACGCAGCTCAGGAGTAACTAGTTGAAGTTGAACCATGTAGCAGTCTAGTGTCGAGGTAATTACTGTTCCCTTCGGATTTGCCAACCCTGGAACGCACTCCCAGACTCAGTTGTATACTCTCCTACCTTGGACGTTTGTAAAAAAACGATTAGATGTTACTCTTGGCTTCCAACACTTTGTTATGTAAACTCCTCAGTTGTGGATTAAGCCAAGCATGTTTTTGTACAGGATTTATGTATCAAATGGATCCAAGTGCGCGACTATATTTTACTTTTCTCACGCCTTATATAAACGACCAATGAACCCTGGTGTATTTTGAACGTTTACGCCCGATATTTTTTTCGATTTTACACTAATGTTATTTATCAAAGTATTCATCTCGGTAGACGCTCGGTAGAGGACCGGTATATATTTTTTCATTGTATTCACCCCAATCACCCTCGCATGTCAGTCACTTGCTTTTATCCCATGATAAATCATTGTTCATTGTTCATATCCAAGTGCGAAATCCTGTGTATGAGAGTATGACCGCACATTGTGCCATGTTTATTTGTGGTGCTCACGGTTTCTTCACAGTTGATTTAGTCTCATATTTCATTTCCACAAATTATTGTTTAGTTCGGACTTCCAGTGACCTAGCAGATGGGCTCAAGCACTTATTTAGACAACTGACAACTAAGGATGTGGTCTCGGGTTATACCGAAATGCTGTGTCCAAATGACCAAAAATATCTGGTCGCATGGCCATATATATTGTCACCATTCCAATGCCTACAATGACTTCTTGGTGCAAATTACATTTTACTGATTTGCTTGTTTGGATTCTAAATCAACTAACACCACAAAATGGAGCTCGTGAATGTTGTTTTCTAGAACTTGAGATACGGGATTTGATAGGTTTCGCATGTACGTTTTTCACAGGCAATTGCTGGCACTAGAAATTGTGCCAAATAATTGTGAATCAAATTGGATGGGATGAATAGAGGCTTCATGAAGAGAGGTAATACATCATAGACATTCGGTTTCCACCAACCGAAACGGTCGCCTGTCTGGCCTGCACACTACCACACGATTCTTTTCGTTGAACGCCATGCAGGTAGTGCAATAATGTGCGTACACCTGTAGGGAAGATAGAAACATGGAGCCTGTCTGTTTCGCGGACACGTGCAACTACCTTGGGATTGGAACCGCGCTAGGTCGAAGTACATATTTTTCAAGGTCACTCAGGTGGGATCGCTCTGACACCTCCAGTGTGCATACAATTTCCCAAGAACTTGGGCTGTCCACATGATGGGCTTGGTTCTAACTAATCGGAAAGATATTTCGAGATTACCACTGTTTGCTCATGTCCATTAATTTCAACAAGCTCTTCATACAAGATATACTCACCCATCGAGGATCTTCGCACCATTTGGATATAAACGAAAGTAATACTCATACTGAAGGGGAAGAGGCTGAGTTTGGAAGTGATGAAGCCGAGCTATCCGGCTCTGACAGCTACGATGGGTTGGAAGAATTCGATCAAACCATAAGGCGTATGGGCAAGGAACATCTACCAGCTTCTACACAGAAGAGGCGATTAGTGGAAGTGTTTCAGGACCTGCGTTCAGCCATCGAGCAACAGGCTCGCCTTCATTTCGAGCTCAATAAACAAATTGGCCTGCAAGATAGTGCCTGGACAAGCGACACAATTCACGAGGGATCCAGAGAAGAGCTCGGAAACAAGGATAACTCAGCATTTCCTAACACAAGAGGTCAATTAATAAAAAGCCGTGGAAGACGACGACCACACAGTGCTTTCGTTCATGAAGACAGCAGAGAATCACAGACTGATGAACAAAGTCTACGAAAATTCCACGGACACCGTCGGCGGATAAATTCACAATTATACTCCGTGGACAATGCTCCCACCGCGGCCGTTGATGGTGAATTGCTCTCGTTTAAGCGCTGCGAACGGTTGTCAAAAAAGAAAGAGCAGGTAACCAAATTCTGCATAAGGTTGGATTTTTTAAACCGGGTTAACATACAGTTATATACTGTGAAAATGACTGGGTATGATTTAGTTAGAACACTATAGTGGCTGTAAGCCCCATTGTTTGCTGAATATGGGAGCACGTGCTCATAAAGTGCACGCTGCTGGTAACCTTTCCTACATTTACTCATAAATTGTGGTCGTTTCGGCAAGCTCTACTTTTCCGGAGGATAAACTGTGTGATACTTGGTAGCTAACAACTTAGTGGCACAGAAAAATGAATAAACTTGGTAGCGATGGGAATCATAATGGTTTTGGTTGAATCGATGCTACCTTTGGGTTCATATTTTAAATGGTAACCTATTTATTCAAAGAAACAATACAAACTCCATACTAATTGAAAAGTATGTTAACTTACCAACTCCTTTTCTCTTGCTTTATTGCTTTGATGAAAAATGTTGAATCCGGTCTAAAAGTTTCCATTTGCTCTCAGAGAATAATGGGCCGTTTTGTCTTATCTTTCACAGAGTCTCAACTGGGCAAAAGCAGAACCTGTTTGCTGTTGTTTTTTCTTTACTGGTGACCCCAAAGGTTGCACAGACTCGGGTAGTCCGATCCGAAGGCTAATATGTAGTCAACCGTATCTCACATTTTACTAAGACGCATTCTCGGCTCCAGCTAGCTGTCATTAATGGTATATGTGGGTGGATTCTATCCACGATTGCCGCGGGCTTTTTCAAATTCAACTGATCCGAGCCGAGCATAAACCATTGATGAAATGCTCTGCTTAATTCTACCATGCATCCTGATCTGCTTTAGCGTATTTAGTTACCCATTCATATTTAATGCGAACTAGTGATGATAGGGAGAATCGACGACAGTATGGATACAAAGGGTGGTCTCACTTTTTGCGTTTGTCCAAAAGGAACTACTTGTGTATTGACCCGGTACACATGGTTTACGATACCGCAACGAAAGCACCGCCCTTGGTATATCAAGGTGTAAACACAGGGGCACTTCACTCACCTCAGCAGGAGCCCCTAGTTCATGGCCACCAGGAGAACACAGAACCTCCAGTGTCCACACATTGGTAAAGCTGACGCTTAATGGTTGCTTGAGAATGGTGTTATACACATTAGGTACAAGTCTAGTATACATGTTCTGACAGTAATGCAGGGCGAAGTAGCTGAAAACAGTAGTGGCGAATTAAAAATAAAAGTCACTGCTTTACTGCTTGACACTTGGTACTGCGTCATCAGAGGAATTGATGGTGTGAAATGTCGTAGGGCGGAACTATACTTATGAGTGCTGTTACCATACGCTGCATAACTGCTTCCCAAGTACCTCGATCGAAAAGGAGTCAAGAGCTTGTTAACAGATTTTTTGACAGTCGGCTAGAGGTTAGCACTCTCTTTTCCCCTGTAGCTCAAAATGTGAGGGCGGCACATAGACTTGAGGGTGAGATCGATTACACCACTTCAGTCAGCGTGGTTTTGATTGCGAGTGGGTGACATCTTGTTCGGTAAAACCTGATTGTAAGAGCTCATACAACATTTTCAGCTCAGTTGTAACGGTCCGAAGTATACCGTTGTCAAATGATGGTGACTGATAGACTTCACACAGGTGTGCACGGGGGAAGTGTATGACACTTCAATCGGGAGAAAAAGCAAATTTCCCAACAATATGTTGTTGGTTTAGATTAACAGTCGATGGGCAGAGTAGAACTTCTAAGGACTTCATTGAAGGTATTAAAGATCCATGGGGATTACCAGGTTTGTGATAACAATTTGGTACACTGTCATAATTAATGTTAGTATAAGGATATTCCCATGGACCCAGAGTGAAAGTGAGCAATCGCTCAGCGCCAAAGCTTGATAGGGTCAAAGGACCCGTAGAAAGGCCTACGGGACTGCATAGCCGGTAGCTAGCTTGATTGCATTGGTGGGTCCCTAAAAAACAGGCAGTAGGTGACAACGAAACCTGAACCTTCAATTAAATCTTTCAGTTCCCTTTACACCGCATTACCTATTCGACTTGAAGTTGTAGTGGGCTGCTTGAATTAAAACAAACAACCCATCAAGTTGAGCCATCAAGAAAGACGCGAATGAACTAAAAAAAATAACCGAGAAAGATTGTTTCCAAGCACAAGCTGAAGAACACTGACAACTGAAACCTCAGGTAATTGTTTCAAGGAATTCTGTGTGCAACCCAAATGCCCAGGTATATTTGACGCGTGAAAAGCGTTGTTATTCTAACTTATTCCGGCAAGCTCTCTTCTTGCTATTCATGCAGGATGCCAAAGCGATGAGAAGTCATCCGATTCCATTGGGTGCGAGTAGTTTTCTTGTGCCCAGTTCTACCCTGATTTATGTTCTCTCACATGAGCTGGTCAAGTCGGTAGCGCGTCTTCTCACTTTACACCTGGGTACTACGCGTTCAACTAAACAGGCTGTTTAAGTTGAAATAAAGAAAAAAGAACACTGACATAAAAATTGATAGTAAGGACTTTTGCTTCCCTTCGAATGGTAGGAGGAAACAGCACAATGCTAAAGTCTTATTTGCGATGATATATATTGTAATAAACATAAGGTCTGACTTACTTAGGTTGTTAGACAACTCCCTACATCAGTGTTGGTTTTTTATAAACAGCTTTTCCACAAAAATTATCGAGAGTCGCAGTTGTAACTGAATCAAAAGCTTCTTTATTTCACAAAGTTCACCCACAGTGGGTTGTGAAAAAGGACGGTTTCATTTAGCAAATCGTTGTGCTCCGTGCTGGGGACAAGCACAGATTGACACACGGGATCCGACTTCTTTATGAACCATTCCACAACAACAGCAGAGATTCACGTGGCTTGGAGATAATGGGAATCGGGCCAACATTTTATTGGTTCTCACGTAACGCCTTCATTGCAAGCCAAGCACTAACATGGTAAAACAAGATCACCTGTCGACGGTACTTAAGACGTGCTTTTCATTGGCTCTGGGCTATTCGGCCACCAAGAATTAGTCCCGATTTTGACAAATATGGGTCAGAGGTAAACGATAGAAGCACTGCCTATATCGGGCTCTCGCAGTCCGCCCTAAAGCCAAAGTATGCTTTTGTCAACCTGCGATTGATAGTGAAGTTTAGTACAGGCACAATAGCTCCACTAAATATGAGATTTAGTGAAAAAGATAATGTACCAACGATTTATTCTTCCGATTATTTATTCCGTGTATTTCTGTTTCATCAGTTCATGTAGCAAATGAGAGAAATAGTGCGGAAGTGATCCAAAGATTCTGAAATTTTCACGCTTTACAACTGCATAACAAATGCTGAGGATCTCAGCCCATCATATATACTCTGAGCAAATTCGATTTCAGAGGATTGTAAGCACTCGTAAATCGAAATTAAATTGTGCAACAGCTCATGCTAATCAACCTGGTAGAAATTCACCCCTTAGTCATAAGTCATCAAATGAAAAAGCAATTATTTCAAGGATTGTTCGAGTAATTCAGTTCAGAAGATGACAATCTGTTATTCAATCCAGTCATCCAATCACTAACTGGCAGTCGGGATTTCCGCTTATCTTGTCAAATTTTGTCGCATGTTCTGTGTTCAAGTTCCGCATCAGTTTGGTCTGTGCTAAGTCAGGCGGATGGGTACTGTCAGTAATTCAACAAGTCTAGCTATGCAACTTCATCAAAAACCCTCGTAATTTTAATGAGGTGTGGGAACGGTAAGCGATGGCTGTTTGTCTCGTAATATCTATTAACGGGCTAAAAGCAGGAAATATATACAGTCCAACCCGCCATGGCGATCACCCGTCTAAGGTGACTACCTGTTTAAGACGACCACATTTTTCGGTCTCTTGTCTGGAGTTGGCGCCTTAGACAGGTTTGACTGTAAAACCACGGGAGGTTGCAACCGGCCAAGTTGCAGAACAAGTGAGGCTGCTAACCAATTGTGGCTGAAAATATACAGCGTGGACTCCTTCTGGCTACTATTGACTAACGTATTGAAACACTGGAAGTGGATATTATCATGCTGCGGTACTATTTTGAGCGCTACGCCTAACTTATGAATAGTTCGTAGCAGGTATGTGACTGGGAATAGGAAGTTTATAACCATGAAGTTGTTAGCAAACGCATTACCGGAAAATTGTTATCAAATCTCTTAACTAGATTGCTGCGAGAGAAGGCTCGTACTGTTACTAAAGAGACAGTCAATATTGAGCGACCACCTAAGGTGATTTAGCTGATGTAAACTGCGGGACACCTGATTTCCGCTGGCCAGGGAGCTTAAAAGGCAAGCGAAGCTATTATAATTGCTGAGTAGGTATAGTGTCTGTCTTATCAAGGAAGGTGGAACAACTGCCTAATGGCAATATACATAGCATTTAGCGATTTACACGCCGTGGTGAGATAGCTTGATTACACAAAACCGATAGGGCGAGAAACTTCACTCTAAGGGAGCACGTATCAAATTGTCCCCCCCCTCGGTTTACTGGGATGCGGTAAAAATTCAAAGGGGTTACATTCTTAAACAACTCTTCCACAGAAAACACATTGTGCTTCATTTTCTCCATCACATTTACATAGACGTAATCAGTGTTACTGCTAAGGGCTGCATATATCATTGCAACAGTGAGCGAAGATTGCTTCGCCATCTTCAAGGATAACTTGGCCTTGACGATTTGGAGGGTTCTGACTGGCTAGTTAAAAGAAACCATTCGTCAGCAAGTTCACATATCACATCAGATAATTATAGTCGTGTAATCAAAACCTGATTGTCATGGAAATGTTGGTAAGGGCTTGAAATCTTCACGTTCACAGGTGACGTTTGTAAGGAAACTGCCGCGGAACGGCCACCTAGTATACTGACTAGTTACAGTTATTAACCGAGCAGCTTAAATGCGATCCGAGTGCGTGATCAGTAGCACATCTTGCAACGGCTGTACCACAAACGAGGCGTAAATCGTAGACGTAAGCTTAAGGGGACTCATGGGACCAACTGATGATGCGGAAACAATACGGGAACTTCCGTTGTTTTAATATAACGACGCCATCCTTGAAGCTGTTGGCAAAGACCGGCTTGGAAGTACAGGAGCACAAAGTGACATTCGCGACAACCGCACCTTGGTTTTTCTATCTCTAACCGAAACGTTGTAGCGGAAATAGAGTACCCAACCACATAGGTGCTGAAGAACTGCGGTAGCTAAGTCGTAATTGCTAACCTTTTCAAGGATCACACTAGTGTGACTGTAATGCTTCAGTAGTGAAGCGTGGAGGTGGTCTAACCTGGCAGTTAAAGAGACTATCATTTATATGCTAAGTTCAAATGCACTGCAGACTTTAGCAATAGTGTCCCACTGAAATGTGGCTTAGTGTCTGGCGCTAAGCTACATGGGGCCAGTAATCAGTAGCGATCTACCCCTCCCCGTATCAGTACTCGGACGCTTGCGACTGAGTTGTCAGGTTCAGTGAAAATTCGACTAAAGTAACAATGTCACAGTTCTCCAGTTGTCACGTATGCTGTTCACTCTCATACGCGACATTTAACGGACGGTGTAACATCAGACGAGATAAGTGAACCGCAAAAAACTCGCATACAGTTGGTCATAAACATGAGGTCATGTGCTCTGCAACTCAATATCACTGGCATGGTGATGTCGCAAGTGCTTTAACACCTGCACTATAACAAGTATGAAACAGATGAAATTAAGTGCCCAATCCTGGAAATCAGTCCACGAGTTACACAATATGGATACCCTAGTGGTACAATGTCTGGGTGTCTTTTGATCGAATAACTGTTGCGAGGGCAAATTAGCATTTCCGTTATTCGCAGTGCAGCATAGGTCAAATGGTAGCAGATTTTTCGCACATTCCTGTAAGCTCTACATCCAGGAGCGTTATTCGGTGGCACAATGCCACCACACGGGTGAATACTGGCTTGCATTACACCATAATAAGCGCTGATTGGCTAACTTAATGGCATTTGTACCAGCCGAGGAGGAACCAGTGAACTAGCGCGAACATCAAGAGCCTCACAGTAAAACCGGTCGGCTCCATTCACACTACTCTGGGGAGTGGTATGCTGACATTAATTTAAATATTCGATTATTGAAACCTAAATTGTTTGCAAATTTCGTCAGTTTTGCGGGTTAGAGATAAATTATTAAACCACATGAGGGAACAACTGCTGAAGTTGTTGCGGAACGCAGTTGAAAGGCTTTAGGGCGAATTCATTATTCAGCTTGAATAACAAGGAAGGTATTACCGTCTATTTTTCGTTCTGCTTAATACTTAATCCGTAAGTGCAATTAGTTAGTTTGCACTGGTTAAGTTAGGGTCTCAAATCGAGTGCACAAAATGAATCTAATATGTGCACAAATTTGTCCTACCAATAAGGTAAGTCATGCAGCAATTCACCTAACCAGTCGAGCGATTTACCACTTATATTTGTGCTGTGGGGCATGCCATAAGCAGCATAGTAACTTCTGCATTTATTCGCTAGTATGAATTATTTGTTATTTTGGTTGGAGACAGCCATATGAAATCATCTCCTACTCGTAAGTCATTGAATCCACTTCTAAGCGTCCGTGGCGTCAGCCATCCACTTCATATCCACCGTTGACCCGAAGAAATATCAATGGAAAGTGGGCATATTGAAACCAATTCTGTTTTATTGGTGGTTTACACTGCACCAAAAATGTCGATCAAGCGTAGGTCAGTCCACTCGGGTCCACTTGAGCCTATAAATGAAATGCGCTAAAATAGCTCACCGCTCTCATTGGACATTGGAGATGGTAGAGTTTTCTGGTTACTCCTGAATGTAAACTGTGGCAGACATGGCCAAAAGAGGCACATAATGTGGGGGCTAGGCCACACCGTCTTCCACCATGGGGTAGCCTCAATCAATGATACCGTCAGGCGAACGGTGCATGCCAACATTACTGGTAGTAGGGTTGTTGCATGAAGCCACTAACAGTGACAATGATAGCAGACTAAATGACGTATGGCCAATTCTCACGGTGATGTGTTACCCATGGAGATGGCTTAGCACCAGCTATTGTTCAATCAGCCACGTGGACCTAGTTGAGTCTCAGCGACACGCTGCGGAGGTTCCATACTCTCATTTAACCCATAAACGAAACAAGGTTAAGTAAGCCAAATATCTTATCAAAGATGGTATTAAGTTGCCATTTTACTTTGCTTATTATTAAGCTTAGTGATTATGTGAACCTGGGTAGCATGCTGCGTGTTTAAGAGAAGCTATTTTCCTGCGTCAGCCGATGATGTTTTCTGACTGCTGTCCAACACATGCTACATCCAGATTGTCATGACTTTGAAACTGGAGCACAATGCATTCCCCGTTACAAATCGCTTACATTCCAACCGTAGTATACGATACACACGCACACACCCAAATGCCTCCTTTTCCTTCTTAGTCTAATGAGTCTCACAGTGTGATCATTTGACCGCATTTAGTCTGGACTCTGACGGAGGATTTAGTTTGTCCCTTGACACCTCAGTCTACTAATGCAACGAGCCGACAACATTGGTGTATGGTGAACCAGTGGGTCTGTTTCGCTGTTGCAAAAATGTCTAACGACCCCAAACGGCAAACCATTACACTAGGGGTCGTTGGACATTAACGTGTGCCTAAGTGCGAAGTTGCATTCAGCAACCGGGAATGGCGAAAGAACTTAGGCTTCAGAATGACGTGACTCAGAGAGCTACGGTACCGAAAAAGGCAAATGCACCAGCAGTACGCCAGCACAGCATGCCAGCGCTTCGCTGCCAGGCGATCACCACCAGTCACACTAGCGCTGAGTATACCACAATGTCGCGCGCAACTGCGCGGACACATACTGGTGACCCCAGGATTAGGAAGCAATCGCGTAATGTTTTAGGCCACTAGCGGACAGTCAACTCACTACAAATGTCAAGATGCAGTTGCAATAGCTTGATTATCCAAAGACTTGTACATAGCAGGTACCCTACTCAGTCGATGGTACCGCAATAGAGAAATTTCTACGGATACCAGATCACTGATGTAACGTTTCAAATGTGAAATCGCATTATTGTTCGAACATCTATCTGGCTTGATTAAGCTTGGTGAAATCACCAGAATGAGTTCAACTCCCGAATTCAACCCAACATTTCGCTCAAGGTAGTCAGTGTGGTCATGACGGCAGTCTATCGGTAATGGAAAGGCCAGATGGTAGAGCGTTTTATCTCTTCAAAAATGTTATCATGGATCGTGCATAAAGCTAATATCACTTTGCTTTGTATAGGTCGTGGTTGAAATTCGCGTTGTTTTTCTGAAAGTTGGTGAAATCGATACGTTGAAGGAAATTTATCATGCAGATGCATTTATTCAAGCCAAATGGAAGGAACCACGATTGGAGGGGAAAACGGATGAGGTATGTTTGCGGTATCTTTGAATTGTAATATTGCTATTGTATGGTAATATGTTGTATTTCTGAAAATGGTTCAACAGTTTTTCGATACACTTCGAAGTCAGCTAGTTTAAAATGCGGAGTTGCGGTAACCACGAGAGTAGGCCATGCATCAAAATGGTATCAGGTGCAACAGCACTAATAAGGCAAAATAATCTAGTAATTTATAGATATGTGTAACCAGCATATTCGTTCATTTTTATGGAAGCCATTAGTTTAAGAAACCAGTCAAATATTCGGTTAATTATCTAACCTCATTTTTGATATCGGCTGTAGTCGGGTCTGAAGAGCACGGGTCGACCACATTTACCTTGACAGCTGAATTTTCCGTAAAGTAATTCAGGCTTGCGTCCTCCCCTCTGGCTTTACCAAAGTCGGTATTTAATACAACCAAATAGTTTACTTGTGTACACTGGATGTGACAGGAATATTCCTAAAGTGAAAAACCCTAGGTATCGAATAATACAGAGATGAAATATATCCGTTCAGAGATTTTGTGTGGAACCATAGGAAAATAGGAGTCCTTCGGACTAATTCCATCAATATATGTGCTATCAGATGTGACTTGATTTCCGGTGGCAAATTTGGTATTCTATTCGGTCTTGCTGTGATCAACTTTCTATGGTGGATTCGTGCTGGGCGAAATTGGAAAACCACATGTAAAACTCCCGTTAGCATCAGGAAATAAACGCGCCTTCATTCTCTCTCCATCGGCGTTCAGCTACACCCACTCTGTGTTGTATCGAGTGTCGGTGAACGAGACAAAATTTTTCAGCAGTCTTCTGTCTGCAACACGTTAAAACTCGAGAGCTATTCTATTGCTTTTTGTCATGTCATTTCTTTACCTCGCGTGACCTCTTCAGGTAGCCCAACGAAATCAGTGCAGATGTTGGGTGAAGATCAACGACTTGTTATTGATTACTAGGAGATAATCCGTGCGCCAGATGCAACAGCAGTGTCATGCCAATTTTACTCGTCCCCAATTGGTTACTAGCAGTTCGAAACCGTTCACTACTTGTTTTCGCCTGCGCGATCGGGTCACCTCCCTGCTTGTGGCACCCTGAGGGGTCATTTATGAGCGGACGATACAGGAAGTGCAACGGCTAGTTCTGAATTACTTTATATAGGGACAAAAAGTGAGAGAGAATTTAAGCGAATTTAACTTGTTACTAACCATAATGTGAAGATGCACACAGCGTGATGAATAACTATTATGATTATAATGATAATAATTTGAAATGGGGCCCAGTATTTTGACTTACGCAACAAGTTTCACTCACTTTCCTGTGTTGCTCGTACGACGTACACTTTCAGCGTCTAGTGCGGTGTTGACTATCGCAAAACCTGATTGATCGTCCTCCAGTAGTTCCCCTGAAAGACCGATACTTATTTCCTATTAGTTCGATTGTGTTCTCATCTAAGAAAGCACGCTAGATCCCTCGCTATTTCAGTTCAATATTAGTAGTATCATTATATCTATCAAACATAGCAGTTATTTACATTTAGGGAGTGAATTGTGGTTGTCCGTGAATATTGATGGGATGAGCTTCAGAGCATGCTGTGTCTAACGAAGACATTTATTCACATGAGAAATGATACATCATGATCAAGAAATCAAGCATAATGTTCTACCAGCTTCTTGTCCCTGATTGCTTCAGTAAAATTAATACTGAATACGCCCGTCTATTGACGATGTATGATTACGACATCCCTCTACCTTCCATTGTTCTGGCCAAGTCGAACATGAAATAGCGCGCGTCGGACAATGTTTGGTTAGAGTATCTCGGGAAACCCACATATTCCACACCAAATAGAGCCTTGTAAAAGTCTTTCGCTTCTGATTCCTCAAGATTAGAGTACTATTCGAGGCAACATACCATCGACTGGCAGGAAAAACACAAGATGTCAATCATTAGACTTCTGTTTACTAAAGTGTCGGTAACGTTACCAAAAGGTTCGCTTCGGAACGATGCGGTTGCCGTACATAAATTATAAACTAATATCGCATGCACAAACTGACGCTAGATAGCCTACACCAATCTGTACCATCAGAGTTGCAATTTACAAATTGTACACAATAACACTAAGAGCCAGAACAGCTGTTCACTTCAACTCCTTACTTCAGATATACAGTCCCGTAGAAGAAATTGTCAGTCAAAATTAAGCTTTGTGTACCAGAACCGATTTTAAAATTTTCGTCTACCGGAAAGGGATAACACCCAAATTTCCACAGTAAAAATCTTCAAACGGATTCTCTTTCGAAATGACGCGAAAAAGACGCAGGCAGTAGTAACGCAAAATAGTTAGGTTAAAAACGCCCCGCTTCAGTTGAAACAGTATTGTCCATAATGTGTCGGCAACATGATTGCCTAAACACGATTACATCCGCACTTTATTAATACAAATGTATGATAGTAGCTTTGCACAATGATCTATCTCTACCACAAAAACAGTCTTCCGCGCACCCTAGAAATATGCGCCTTGTTGTTGTGCATGTTATTCTTATTATTGAGCACCGTTTCTGTAGATGCAGTTATGTTGGTTTACTGATGCGCATTTTTGCGCCTTCGGGTCAGTGCGTTTAGTTGGGCTTATCAGTCACCATCACAAAGTTAAACACCACCAAGATTGGAGAATGCTTTTGAAAGACTTGCATACGTAGGAGGTTGAGATTTTGCAAGTTTAGTTGCACTTTCGCCGGTACTCCCAAAGCATGCACTTAACGTCACCAAGTAAAATCCACTGCACAATCGCTACACCATTGCTGGCAAGAAAGTGAGAGAGTGTGAGGGGGTAGATTTGGGATTCACATGGAGGTAGTGGTTAAATGTCAATCCGCACGCACATCATCGAGCCCATCAATAAGAAGCCAACCACTGGACAATCAGTGATGTGTACACAGAACACTCAAAAGATAGGGCGAACGGTCGAAATAGCATTTGGGTACCACACAAGAGAAGGAAAGTGCAAGAATGTGTTATGTTTACACCCATCAATAGTTTCCGTTAGCCCAAGCTGTGGTATATTGGGTATGGAGAATCGTGTAAACATCTCAAATGGTGAGGCATTTATTTACTTTATCTGTTATTCGACCATGCAAGGGTACGATAAAGATTTTGCCGCTGGAAGGCACTATCAAATTACATGAGCGAAATAAATAAATTCCCGATTAACACAACTGTAATTCTTTGCAAGATAAATGACAGAGTTAGTCTTGCACGAAGAAGGGTGAGCTAGAGTTACCTGTGCTCCAACCTCGACGGAAAGCTTGTATTGCAGGTCTAATTGAAATGGTAATTCACAGCGGGTTCACTGTCCGAACAACCTAGCAAGTTTCAAGCTTATCTCCTCCGTGGGATTTCAGCTACTCTAATCTAAACATGGATTAGAAAAAGGATATTTGATCACTCGTTTTAGAGGCCCTAATGCATTCAGACAGCACTGATGATGTCATTTGGGATCTCTGTGTAAAAGATGTGGAATCCCACTAACCGTTGCTTAGCAACAGACCCTGTTATAGCACTAGACGGTCTTATGCCTTATATCCGACTACATTAGCTTAAACTTGTTCCCAACTCTTTAATAGGCTGTAACTTCTTGATGCATTGCACCTAGTAACGTGGAATGTCAGCGCAAACAAATGGTAACCATAAAAATAGCGTTCAGAAATATGGACATACGACTCCATGGCGCATGGCTATACGTTTTCCTCCGATGGTGGTAGTGGTATAGAGAACAATAAGGTCAGTAGTCAATGACTCAATCCGGTGTGGCGCAATCAAGCAACTGTGGTATTGCTTTTCATCCCCATTTTTACCTCTCAAAATTCCTATGGCTCTGAATTTGGTCAACTTTGCGTTTTCGGCGTATTTGCTTCTTTTTAGTTAAGCTTTGTTTTCTTGGTGGTGCAGGTTCTGGTATCCGGAATCGCCCCATAAATAGCTTATGCGACTAGTAAAAGAATCGAACTGAAATGAGCCACCATATATGAATCACTGGCAATATGGCCAGCATTCCATTTATCGACCTCGTTGGGTGTACGCGAAAGATCAAACGATTAGGAAACCACTGTGAGCAGTGTGTTACCCGGCACCTTCCTTTTCCGGGTTTTCAAATCACTCCAGCTGTCGACTTTCAATAGCACACGTTACAGAGAATCTCACAGTTTATCCATAGTTGGTTCACATCGTACGGTTTCCAAAAGGAGTATGGGTTTAGTGATTACCCTAGTTTGCTCAAACTCGCCCTTGAGGCTGAATTAGTTATGTCATAAGTTCACATATGCAAAGTTCATGTGCACCATTGGCCGAGTCCGGGCAGGCAATCTTGCTAATCATCAGGTTGTCTCTCAACAATCTTCGGGTTCACCTTGTCGCACGAACGCAGGACAACTCTGATGGACAGCGGTTTGCTTCACCGTCTATTCGTCACTAGCATTTGCGGGACCCTGGTCGATGCCATTGCAACTCAGCTTCTCAGTGCAGTGAATAGAAAAGCGAATCAGTCGTTAACGTATTCGCATAGCATCTAGATAACAAGTGTAAAGAAAAGTTGTCTTCAACACATGCCGTACTTCGCCAACGTACTAATTACTTGAAAAAATAATAAAAGGAAGTTGAACTTGAAAAACTTTCTGCCAGTGGCACGTTGAACGCTTATTGCCTAACAGAACAGAAACACCTTGCTTTAACAAACATTTGATGCAGACATCACACCACCAGATGGCTGATGACGCGCAAGTAATGGGACACGTGTCACACAAGTGTTTGTTCAACCAGTTAACTTGTTTAATTACATGTCATACGCTAGGGTTTGATGGCGACGCTGCGAATTAGATTAGTCTTTCACATACGACACATACCTCTACTGACACAAATACCTAAGGAGGCGGGCTGTTTGGCTGATGACATCAAGATGTGGCGGGAGATCTGTAATCAGGAAGATCACCATCTACTGCAGCGCGACCTAGACCGTGCTTTGAATGGTAAAAACCGAATGTACTTTGGTTTAGCGAGCAGAATTGTAAAACTGTACATGTCTACCACATGCCCGGTAATGCAGATAAGTTTGAATGCAACATACTAAAGACCGTCTCACAGGAACGCGACCTTGGGATGGTGACGGAAGACGACCTGGGCTCTTCGGAGCAGTCCTCCAGGTGGTTTAAAACCGGTGACCAGCACGATTGTCCCTTACAGAGAGTATTTGGGCGGTTCTATTCTGTCATCTTTTGAAATGCTCAACAGATGCGTGAGACCCCGTGTGGAGTACTCTATTCAGGCCGGGTAGCTCTGGCTAAAATGAGATTTGGTAGCACTGGAGACCTCACAGCAAAGGCAACTGCAAACGTGAAGGGCCTATTCTATCTGTCATATCAATCTCTACTGAATACCCTAGGAATTTACAGTGGGTTATTGTTGTTCAGGTAGTAACCACAATCTGACGTATCAGATTTCGGAAATCCCAGACTCACCTGTCGTTACTTCCTAAAATTAGCCGCAACACAAATTAAGGGACAACCAGCTGAAACGGGACGCCCAAAAACCGCCGCTTAGAATGCGTCAGAATTTATCCACTTAGAATTTGTCAGCTCTTTCGAGTTTTGCTATTTTGCGCGTATCTTATTTATTTTTAAAGTGGACCTGCGTTACTTAATCTGCACTACTTGACATAATAATCCATCGTCGAGTGACGACAAGTAGCAACTGCACTGTTCTCACTAGATACTCACGAAATGCGTGTAGGCGGATTCATAGGTATTTGGCTGAAATTATGGTGAGTCCACAGATGTGCTGTTTACCTTGCGGAAAATGTACTTGTACTTTATATGTCACGCAGACCATCGTATGAAACTTGTCAAGACAGCTGATTTTCCGTAGTATACTCCTCCGTTATTCAGGCTTTCCGCAATAAAGGTTTTAAAATATTAGGAATCATTCTGCACATATTTCTGATTATCGCGAAGTGACGGAACTGGCATGTGCGTGATGCCAATGGAGAATTAGTTCATTGGTCAACGTATATGGTTCCGTAAAGCCTAGATAGAATAAGAAAACTGCGTTTTGCTTATCGATCGGACACTGTACCTACATTCCCAAAATCAAATGTTCATTTCATGCTTAGGAACTTCGTCGCATAGACCTGCAAAGATGCTGGAATCCGCTTATAATTATTGACAACATTCTGAGTGAATCAAAAGATCAGCATTGGATGACCACACAGAAAACAGAGAAGAGAGAAATTTACATAGTGGAGCGGCGCCGCCTACGAGGGATATTTTTGGAAACCTTAGAACTTAACGATTTTCCTTTGGATGTGCAAGTAAGAAGTTATATTAAGTATTGTTTGCTTTGTTTGTTTTTTGTTACATTAAAGGAACTATTTCAGGGCTTCCGAAACACTAAAATGCTAGCTAAAGATGTAATCCGAGCTACGAACGACTTTGAAATATTTGTTTAAGATTTGAAGGAACGAGAGCCTAGTTTTTTGTGATTTCCATCGAGAGCACATTGTGTTGTGTTTTTTAAGATGAAACTGATTTACTGTCTTTAAAACCGTAGCCAGGGTGGCACAAACATTAACAGTTGGTTGCTTGTCAGCAGTAGTGACAGTGCACACAATCAACAAAGCTTAAGTTTGTATGCAGATATTTTTGGACAGTGTAGCCAGTTGGCTAACAAACAATGTTGAAGTTGCAAACCGTATGCAGTGTTGTGATTGGTTATGGACGGATCAAACGGTGAGATCCGAATGCGCAGCTAAGATTGGAATCCCTCTCGATGGTTGCCACCTCTGTAATGTGCCGTATTGGTGGTATTACGGATTGACATTACTGCATAGATAAAGAGAATGGTGTAAGCACTTCATTCATGCGATTTTCAGGTCAAGTTAAGTCAAAATAAACTTTATATATCCAGTTGGGTACCTTTTCAAGGGTTTACCACATCGACTACGGATGGGATAAAGTTACATTATTAAAAGTGTAGATTTGTATGAATGGAAAAAATTACACTGCGTGTAGGTGTCACTTGGATAAACGGTCGTTATAAATAAGCAACAATAAACAATTCCGGACAGAATAACCTAAAGGTGTATTTTGTTGACAGGCCAGCGTTGCAAACTAGGTTTCCAATGGGACAGTTCATTTTAAAGTGCGCAGGATCTTGAGCTTCTCTTAAAAAGTAAGAGAAGAACGGCAATGGTGACATTGGAACTAGGTGGACAAAGATCATTGTTGAAATATTCCGAGAACACTAACGTATCCATAGGGATATTGTAGAAAGGATTTTCAGTGAAAACCGCACTGCCGAGTTAGAAGCTCCGACCGAAGACATTTCACTTAGCGTAACTTCGATTGGGTCACATCCTTAAGACTTCGGACTTTGTTATATTGGTTCAGATGCCTTTGTGTCTACCATTATCCTTTTTCAGTTCACTAAGTTTGCTAGAAAAAACGTCATAGTACTTAGGACATTGTAGCCTTGTCACTGTGAGAGCAGTTGTCACAGCTAAATGCATCGGAAGCTCTGGAATTTTCTGTTACATGGAAGACAGATGGGATTCGCGAGGTGTAACCGAAGATAAACTTGTTGCTGCGCGTAATATCTAAGTTACTATATTTTCTTTAAAACTGGGACTATCGTAACGTGCATCAGGTTGTTGGCCCATTGTACACGAACTCTATTTCTCGGACAAGGTGATGATAAGCGATTGGAATAGATTTGCGGACATCGCTATATTTAAAGTATGGGATTCATGCATTCGATAAGAACATCACTCGGCTTAAGGCGACATCGACCTGCCTGGATCGGAATTTTTGAAGCACTTTGGTTCTACACCATTTCGCGGGTATGGCACTTACAACACTCCATAAGAAACGGAGGCTACTTAGTGGGTATATGCCCATGGCCCTCAGGACGCATTGCCTTATCATGAGCGCCTTTTACCAAGGAACCAAACAAGTCTGTTATTCGCTTTGATTTCTTCCCCAGTAAATCTGTTAAATCATGTTCATCTGCTTTGACAATAAATTGTGGTTCTTGTTTACCCATTTTATGATTATTCTATATTAATAGTCCCGTTTGTGAACAATAGAATAGAAAAATTGCATTCTCAATCCTGGAACTGGTATTGACCCGTTAACACTTTCATCTGTAGTTGGATATAAAGCCCAAAACCCAACGATTTGATCCAATTGAAGTGAACGCATCTCTCCAGAAGGATACAATTATGCATGTTCCATTAAGCAAACAAGCGTTATCCCACCCTGCCTATCACATAGTAAGCTGCAAAATATTTGGCGGCATAGATTGTATGGCATTGTCACAAAAAAGTAAGCGGCCGCAACCAATCAACGCAGGTTACTCCTGAATGTAAATCAAATCTTTTCCTCGATCTCGGTTAGGCTGATATTCTAAATAGGAATAGGGGTTAACGATGTACACTAGACTAAAATTTCCTGCTGGGTTAACTCAAACCCCAGGTGGGCGGGAAGTGAAAGAACCGGACGGAAAGCGATCAGTGGGTTGATTCATGATAGTCTTGAGCGGAAGCTTCCTCAATGTCTGATGCCATCGGCTATTTACTATGCAGCGCCTTGGGTGTAGTGCTCGAGTGACTAATTGCTTTCTTTATTTCCAGGACTTGACGATCACTCTCACCTCCGAACGGCCTGACTCCGAAGTGGTTTTGGTACCGGACCGTACTGAGCTCTGTGGAATAAACTTGCAAACACTAGTTGATCAACAGGTGAGCAATAGGGCATGCAACGGAATGAGCTTTGTCTCACAGGCAAAATGTCCGTGAATTATATGAATGTATTTTGGTCTTAGGACCGAAAGAATTGTGCGTCGAATCATCAGCATTCTTTCAACACTATGCACTTACTTGCTTCTGCAGGACTTTTTCAAACCAAACCGAAGTACAATCTACCCACCTGAATGTATAAACATTCAGACCATCACTGTAGACGCTGTTAAATACAGTCAGCTGAAAGAACAAGAGGAATGCAAGCAATTCTTACTGCAGCAAACTGTCACTAGGAATGGTAATTATTCGTTGTGTTGAAAAGAAAGCGTAAAATGTACAAGAAAACAGCGTTAGAAGACGATGTAGCGCAGGAAAATATGGTTAAATGTTGCATGCCTAAACGCGGAAGATGGTGTTTTTGGTGAAAAAATCATTTAATGCACAATAAAATTCCTAAAACGAATAATGAATACTGTATTGTGGGAGCAAATGGAAGTTTCCATACGTACTACATCGAAATATGATGAAAAACATAAAAAACAAACAATCTATTGCCTGCCAACACGCTCAGGTTTTTCCACGCCCTCACATGACATAGTTAAAAAAACGTGTAACAGTAAAATGGGACACAGCAATGTGGGTTGTAAGTGGTTAATCGTTCTCGGAACCTAACATTTGAGAAATGCATATCTAACAATGAGTTGGGATGCTGAAGAGTTGGCTAATACTACATGCTCAGGCAAATTCTTCTATTTACCACGCTTCGTTAAAAGCGTAGGGTTTAGGAAACTGGCTTCCGATCTGATAGCACAAAGTTGTAGTGGTGTCCGCGTGTACTGCAAGGTGTTCGCGAGTGGAGCAGTCACCTCAGCGTTATGAAGTCACCCAGATATAGGATGCAGTAGGACATGATGAGGTAGACCCGCAACCGACGAAAGGCCAAGGTGCACAGTCCCAGTTTCCCGCACCTGCTTTCATGCGGTAAGCTCCGCAAACTGGGGATGAGCCTGGTAGCCACATGTTGGGTCCCTTTTAATCTTTCGCCCCTCACCTTGAGTGGATGGGTAAAAGCAGCGCGATGACGCGTCTGGAAATCATCAGATCACATGCAGAAGCTACGCTTGAGCGTCCTGAGAATGGGCAGTCTGTTTCGGTGTGACCTGCTTGTGTTGTCAACGGACTACAAATCGCAACGTGAGGGTATGCCTAGGCTCGTCACGGAACGTGTGAGATGTACTATTTGGCCTTAAAGAGTGTATGTTCACTGTCACCACCCTTCTCCAGGCTAATAAACACCGACCTGAATGGACTGGGCTGACTGAGAGGCGGATTTCTACTGACTACGTGGAAAGGCGGTTGAGGTTGTGCCGAAGTAGGCCGCAGTCCTCAGAAGTGCTTATCACTCTCTACATCTTCACTTTGTCTGCAAACGCGGCATATGTCGACCAAGAAAGCTATGCTAGATGGTTGATATAGATCAGGAACAACATAGGCCCCACCACCGTACCTTGGGGTAGGCCGATTGTCGAAGGACACCAGTCGGTCCAAGGGGCATCGACTTGCACCCCCTCCCACTTTCGTCCAACGCTAAAATGACGGATCCACTGGCGCAGTGAGTCCCCAAAACCGCACACTCAGCTTACGTATTGTGATTCACCTTGTCGAAAGCTATGCTGAAATTGATGTAGATCACGTCGAGTGACTTCTCCTGCTTCACTGCTGGCAACTATACATGCATCATCACCAGCACCTTGATAATGTATATTAAAAGCAAATCATTAAACGAACTTCGTTTAAGGCAAAACAAATGATAATGTGATTTATTAACGGTTTTGGTGTACCGCCAACGAAACGCTACGTACGCTGTGTACGGCCAAATTGTACCTGCTCTAAGACGCACACTAATGGAAAACGCATCCCAACCCTTTTCATGGTTGATTTCATCGTAGCTTGTTTAAAAACCACTGTCACGATCGGTGAACAATTCAAAGCTGTTCTGCCAAAACTCGCAACCATTGTTCTGCTTTATGATTACGCCATTTTGTCCACTCATCTTAGAACAGATAACAGACCATCCGTGATGAACAAGGAGTAATGAATTCATACTGGTTAAGAAGCGTTTCGTTAAAAGTCCCGTTGGATAGTTGGTGGGGATATCGAAATAATAATAAGAATAGCAAAGCAGCTAGTACTTTAAATATGACAATAAGGAATTCTCGTTTGCTCTGCTGTAGTCTTGCAATCCGCTTAGATTCACAGCACTCACAGTTAACATTAACTAAATCAATGGTAAACTCCAGCTGCAGGATGGAGACCTAGGTCTAAGTGACAAAGTGTACTTGGATGAGTGCATCATCCAACCGTCTTAAATACTATTAGTTTCGGTGCAGAGACAACCGATTCTGGGAGAGCATTCCACAGGTGACAGACACGAATGGAAAAGAAACTTCTGCGGCACTCCAGACGACTGTATGGTTCTGCGAGTTTCAGTGAGTGGCATCTCAGGTTTATATTGGTGCTGAGTCGCAATGAAGGACAAAGCATAAAATGTGGATCTTGCAGAATCAAGTATGTCATAATCAGGTCGCGTCGTAGTCTGCGATAGCTTCCGCTGAATACCCCCAACTGTTGCAGCCTCTCCTGGTATTAAAGATTGCGCATTCCAATTACGTTCTTAGATGCTCGACGTTGTGGCTGCTCCAGTGCATTAAGGTCGTGTTTTAGCCACGGATGCCAGGCTTCAATTGCGTATTCGACATGGGGGCGAACATGCGCACTGAGCATTTGTCTAAATATGGAGCTGATTATTTGTCCAAACGCCGGTCGCAGCCGCCCGACGTTTTCAGTCTTATAAGTCTTTTCGGATTTCCCGGAGCAACCCAAGTCATCTTGAACCACGACACCCAAGTCACGTTCAACAGGTGATTTTTTGCAGTATATTCGTTCCGAGCCGGTATGAATAGCTGCTCTGACGTCGGATGGAAAGTACTTTGCATTTACTGACGTTGAAATGCAGTACGTTTTGGGTTTACAATTGATATACGGTATTTTGGTCACCCTGAAACAGATTCTGGTCGGCATTCGCCTAGATCCTGCGTCAGTTCTTGATATCGTCGGCAAACATTAGGAACTTTGAAGCGATTCCCAGTACAGTATCATTAATAATCAACAAAACGAAATTGGACTTAGTACTGAGCCTCGCGGCACACCATACTCAACTTGTATAGAGTCCGATAAAGAGCTCCGAACTCTGGCCACTAATTGCCGTTGAAGTAGAAAGTTGGCAATCCAGCTTAAAGGATGGTCGCCGATCCCGTAATGCTGGAATTTGGAGAGTAGTATCCGATGGTCTAGACGATCGAAAGCAAGGTAGATTATATCAATGCTTTCTTCAACGTCAGTTGATTTGGTAAAAGTACTGCGTGCGAATTAGTAAATTCGTTGTGCATGACCGCTGCCGACGGAAGCCGTGCTTCTCAGGCTTAATGCATCTGCAACTATGGATCCCATGACCTTGGAGAGTATAGAAAGAAGGGATACTAGACAGTAGTTGAAGGGATTAGTTCTGCTTCCACCTTTTTGGATCGGGGTATTATTCCAAGCTTCCACTCGGCGCGAACTTGATTTTGGTCGAAGCGGCGCTATAAAAATTAAACTAAAGTCCTGCCAGTTGGCTTGCTGTTGCTTCCAGTGCCTCTGCACGAATGGTATCGACACCCGACGAGCTGAGTTTGCGTCACCTTTTATAATACAGCCTCCACGGTAAAAGTAATATGGCTTAGTCCTGGTGAAGAGACGACAAAGTTTGGAAGATGGCTTGTTGTCAAGACCCTCTGAAATGTGAGGGCATATTACAGCCGCAGCGGATTCGTTGCCTCCACAGCCGCTCGTGTTAGGCCATCGCAGTCCTGCTTGGAGAAAATCCTTGCCCCAATTTTCATATGCTATTAACGTGCTTGTACAGCAGCTTAAGGTTAGCACTGAAAGTTTTTTTAGATGGTTTGCTGATAGGCGGCTTGGTTTTCTCTTAGCCACTGAGTGCAATGGTTACGTTTGGCTACATGGTTGTCCTAAGTTTCTGGTGCTGCAGCTTCGCTATACACTCGCAATGTTTCATTGCGTACTGTCACCCATTTTCGAGGTCTGCTCCTAACAAAAGAAACTGATATACACGTATAACAAACTCATCTCTGAAGCCTCTGCAATCAGCTGACTGAATTTGTTGACGAACTCGAGCCAGACTGCTTCCATGAGTTATTCGGCAAGGAATGACAATGTTGTAGCACTGACGAGCCGGGCTACTCGATCGCAGCTTGTGTTGGTTCGCACAGTCTCATCGTTCTCATTCCGATATTCCGCATAGCAGGCGAAGTTGCGACTGATGGTTGTGTGATCACTGCGACCCAATAGGCAGTCTAAAACCAACACATCAAGCATATGCTCCTTGTTGGTAAGCACAAGATCCAGCACAGTTGGACTGTCACCTGTTCTGAACCGAAAGGGGATGTGATGTGATTGTAAAGAGGAACAGTGGTTACGAGATCTTGTATATCGGCTTTGAATTGTTCCCCGCTCGTGACAGGAGTTTCTAAAAATTGCACGTTGAGTGTACATTTGCTATAAACTGCATCTTAAAGTAACCGCAAGGTGGCAGTCGATTTCGGGTGTAGAGTTAGGGGACGACACACCAAGACAGTAAGGCAAGTGTCTCTGTCTTTTAACTGCAAGCGGTACCAAACAGATTCGGATAACTGCGAGTATGAATCCTCCACGGCTTCGCACTGTCAGTCTCTTCGGCAACACAAGACTACCCCTCCTCCTTTTGTTAGCCTATCGTTCCGAATCAGCGGCATGTCCGGTAGCGAAAATTCAGCGTCCGTCATTCCCCTGTGCAATCACATCTTGGTGACACCAATGACATCAAATGACCCGGAAGCTTGGCGATCCATTAGTTTGGCCATTTACTTAAAAAGTCCCCGAGAATTCGTATACAGACAGGC